ACCCATTACAAAAATTAGGTATAAAGAATAATATTTTTGAAAGTATGACTTCCATTCGTCTAAATATTGTCTCTATAAACAAATGCATATCCATTAATATAAACAATTTTTTTAATTTTAGATTCTGAGCGGAGTAATGAATATATTAATTTTAAAATGATGTATGCGTCTTTTATGTACCATTTAACATTTTATGGGTCAGAAAACATGCTCAGATTTTCTTCAACAGCATCTTTTCTGAAATGAAAGTGAATCTAGTTCGTATTTGGAGCCTCTTCCCCTCCCGAAAGTTAAAAAAAAAAGTCTCCAATAGTTTTCAAAAGTGTCAGAAAGAATTTTTAGTGTAACTCTAAAAATATAATAACCATACATAAATATACGTATAATTTTAACTCAATGTTTATGTTAAAAATAGCTTTGAACCGTATATTTTTTTTCGACTTTTAGCATAAGAAAATATTGAATTACCTAGTTTTTTTTCAAAATATTGTCGATAAAATTTTTTTGACTAGGTCAAAAAACTTAAAAGTGTAATACAACGTTCCTCCTAAATTGTATTGGAAAAAAGTCTGAAGTTAAAATGCTGACGAAATTCATTAAAATCGGGAAAATTGGCTAATTATTATTTATTGGGATTCCTAAAAATAGTCCTATTAATATCAAATTTTTAATTTTTAATACTATATAATCCTTATGTTTTCCTACATTTAACAAAAAAAAAGTTAATCGGAAAGTCAAATTAATTTTTTACGAGTGTTGGAAGTTAAAATTAGGACAAAATTATTTATTATTTTATATAATTTTTGTAACGAGTGATTTTATACTAAGATTACTCCAAAACCTTAAAAACGATTTTACATGAATGCGTTTTATCTATTTTGGGTGTGGGTTTGAGTATTTGAGAGAGAAAACAAATATTGCGCCGTATAATACTTTTTGATGGTTATTCCGATGTCGGTTTATCTTCCTATGTACTATTAATCTTATAAATTTGGTTAAAGTTTTTATTCATTTTTAATGTCATATTAGATAAAATGATACACTATATAGAGCACAGAGGAGTTTATCTTACGTCACTGATCAGCTTTTGTTTTCCATAATGGAACCTGAGTTAATAAAGTAATGTGTCAACAATTTATTATTCAACTATCAAAATTTTCAGTTAAATTTGTTTTTTTAATTATATTAAAATTGACTGTAAAATTATTATTTTATTTCTAAAATAAAATTAAACTTAAAATATTAATTGCAGCTATCGTATACTCKGGTGATAATATTTGATATTCGTTGCAATATAATGCTTCTCTTCGCCTTTACTGGGATTTTAATCGATATACCCAACCCCAAAACTCTGAACTTCCTCTCGTTCTACCGTTACACTACCCTCCTTCTAATACAGTCTAGTCACCTTGACAACTCGATGAATGTTGTCAAATAACTTGCATACTATTTTGTTATTTTTTATTTCCACCCATAATTTAAAAATCCCCTTATTTTAAGTTTAGCCTGTGTGCATATGTTTAAGACGCTATGATTTTTTAAACATAAAATTGGTTTGGTTCGTTTTGATATTGTGTTTGATTATAGTTGAAAACTTTCTGTTATGTGATCATAGAATATTAATTTTAGTTAAAATGTATTTACTAAAAATTTATAAAGTATTAGGGTCGCCGGGGGTGGTACCCACATTTGTATTATAAATGAAAAATGTTGGTTCTACAATATAATAATATTATATATATAAGTGATTAAAATATATTTAAAATTATAAAAATGTGATTAAATATTACCACTGTTWATTAGCTTGGCAACCTATACATTTTAGATTGAAATATTTTTTATTTTGAAGTGATTTATTGTACCTATAGGTGCTAACYTATGCTGCCCGTTCTCGTTTAWTACAGTTTTAATGTCTGTGTTTTTAATTTACGTTATGAGCGTATTGATTTGTGATTTCAATGTATACAAACTACAGTATACTACTAATATATTAATATTATTATACTAATTAACAGTTAACATTATCGTGTTTTTTTTTRTTCTTTTAGTTACGATATTTTTTAATGAAATTGGGATTGTATTTGTAAATTAATAAAAAAACTTAAAAGGAATTCTGTGATATTTACATTCACACTCTTCCCTACAGAATAATGGTGTGTTGTTTTAAATTATCATATAATGAAAAAAAAATTATGCAGAATGTAATATTAAGTACTACATTATGCATTATTAAATAATTTTATTTAATATTATTATATTTAGACGTTAAAGAAAAACTTTCATTAAAATTAACTATCAAAAACGTAATCACGTAGAAAAAACAGAATAACAACTAATACATTGTTTTGTAGTGACAATAATCGTGTCTTTGCTTGTTTTAGATTTTCCGTCTACCTTTATCATTTTATTACTCTTTTTATTAATCGTTTATTATCGTTAACCCCCATATAAATATCTAATCTTTTTATAGATTTCGTTTGGAGTTAAATATTTTATTTTTGTTCTTATTAAACAAGGTCCGCTGCAGCTCTGTCATTAAACTGACATTATTTACATTAATTAATAATTATGAGCATTATTGGTTAATTATTAAACATTCTAATACATAGTGCAATACATTTTTACATGTTAGAAATAGTTAAATTTACTTATTAGTTTTGAGYTATTAATAAATTCTAAGATACATTTGACGTTGCGTGGGTCTGGTTTTAGTGAGTAGTGACTAGGAGAGCTGATCTGACAAGTCTACATATTCTCTTCTGTCCTTTTCTTAACTCCGGAATTCTATATTTTGTTCCCAATAAGAAGACACCAGATTTACGTAGCAAAATCGCCTGGTGTCTTCTCTTTTTGAACGAGTTAAGAGCCAAAAGGATGTGTTAAAAGGTTAGAAACGTACCGCAACAACTGGTTATAAGCTGGAGRATCTTCTCTCTTCATGAGGTGTTGATGGATGATGTGGGTGTGTTCTATCCTGAAATGGGTTATGGTGGTCTCCTGTTTCCTTATGATATTTTCGGGAAAAGGCCAAGGGAATGTAGTTCTTTAAATCGCATGTAGTTTAACTGATAATTTTTCTTATTTATTTTCCCATTGGTAGTGAATGTCTTTGGTCATAATTCTTTTTGTGTCCTGATACAAAAAATCTAGAGTGTAAAGGGGTTATTACTTATTGGACAAGTGAGCAAGTTTGGCAACCCTGTCCGCACGCTCGTTGCCTACTATACAGGGTGTCCCAAAGAGATCTGACATTCTKATAAATGAAATAACTTTAGTTCTAATCAAAATTTCTTTTAAATATAATCCATAGACACTTGCGCTACATTTTTTATTTTTTAACACAGAATAAAAAACTTAAAAATTGATAAAAATTTTTCGAAATATTCGAAATATTCAATATAGCCAATTTGTAAATATGATTTTTACAAAAATGTATATAGTAAAAACACTTATTTAAGTCAAATGGCTGATATTTTACAATTTTTTTAAATATCAATATTTTCGTTAAATAAATTACAATCTAGTTCATGTTAGAAACCTTGTAATTTCAAATAATAATAAAKTTTTTTAAAAATATTTTATAAGAACATTTTTAAATAAGTGCATGTTAAAWTCTAATTATTTTTTTATTGTATTTATTTTAATAACATGTGATGTATAAATTACTATAATTTACCTAACGAAAACATTGATGTTTAAAAATTTTTTAAAAAATCAGCCTTTTGACTTAAATAAGTGTTTTTACCATATAATTTTTTCTGAAAATCAAATTTACAAATTAGCTATATTGAATATTTCTAAAACAATTTTTATCAATTTTTAAGTTTTTTATTCTCAGAGTTAAAAATTAAAAAATGTATTCTTAAAATGTAGCGCAAGTGTCTATGGATTATATTTAAAAGAAATTTTTAAAAAATATTGATTAGAACAAAAGTTATTTCATTTGTCAGAATGTCAGATCTCTTTGGGACACCCTGTAGGTATATCACAATGACCTGTGATCGAGGAGTAAAATATGTAAATAATTTAAATTAATATGAAAGACAGTGGTGGCGTCAGTGGGGCATGAAATCTATACTCACATCAGTCTCATATAATTCTAAGTTCGAGATTCATAACTATATCTACTTATGATAAATTATAATACGTTTGATTTTATATTTATACGTCATGCAATGATATGTATGTTTAAAAATAGGTTAAAACCTTGCAGAAAACTATATTATTTACGTTTTGAATGTTTTTCTGGATTTTTTCAAAGGTTAGGCACWTAAAATATTCTCACAAAAAAATGTTTCAGGAATTTGTTTGTCTTCTATAAATTATAATCACAGAAGTCGACATTTCTTTACAGTTGTCAACAATGTTAGATTTAAGTTTACAATGTCTAGGATAATGTAGAGATTTAGGGCCTCTAATGTATAAAGTAAAGTAGTATATTATTTTTAAAACAGTATTATATTATTCAGAGACGTATTTAAAAATTTTGCGCTCCAGATATAAAAAAAACGCCTCCTTCCAATCAAAATTACTTTATCAATAGCGCACTTGTAAAAAAAAACCTGATAGTTAATTAGTATCTGGGTGTCATTACTTTTTTCATTACCTAAATACTGTATTATATCAAAATGCACTCAAAAATTTAGCGCCCCTAAAATGTTACCGCCAGAGGCTAAGCCTCCCATAAATACGTCACTGATATTATTTTAAATATCATTTTAAAAGAATCAATCATAAAAAATAGAGAGAGTCAAAGAAAGAAAACAATTGGTGTACTGATATTCTCTTAAGTATTATTTTCATTGTTCACCATTTACAATCATGTTTGATTGTTCATAATCTAAAACTCTATCTTATTAATTACCCAAACATTTTAAGCTATGATTTAAAGTTCTAACACTATAAAAAAATAAAATAAAATAAAAAATTTACCTATTTTATTTAATATACTATTTATGCATACATATGAATAATATTATTAATAAAAATTGTTTTTTTAGAGGTGAAACAAGAACTGGAAGATCTTATGGTGGATATAAAAAAAACTGCTAATAGAGTCCGTGCCAAACTCAAAGGTTAACTTTCATTTGTTAAATAATAGTTTTTTGTTTTAATTTAATTATAAGTAAAATTGTTATTGTTATTAGAAATTGAACAGAATATAGAAGCAGAAGAGCAATCGAACAAATCATCTGCAGATTTAAGAATACGCAAAACACAACATTCAACATTGTCACGTAAATTTGTTGAAGTGATGACAGAATATAACCGTACACAGACAGATTACAGAGAACGTTGTAAAGGGCGAATTCAAAGGCAATTAGAAATAAGTAAGAATATACTTAATTTTAAATTCTGAGCCGAGTATTGTTACAGTTTTAAAAAATATCTAAGTGTGGTTTTAAAACTATTTTTTGTATTGATCATCAGTCATTACATTTTAGATCAGTAAAAATGTTTCAATCTGTAACTTTTGGGTGGTTTCTTGTATAAAATTTCTTTTAATTGGTATTTTGAAGAAATTAGAACTAAAAAATGTAATAATTTAGAATGAAAATAGAAAAAAAATATTTGAAATTATTGAGTAAAACCAAATTTCAATAAAATAGATTTTTATTTTATATAATTACTTATTAGATAACAAATATTTGTATATATTTTCTTGACATGATATATTTTTCAAAATATTTTGGCTCTTTTTGTTTTATTTATAGATATTTAAAATGTTTGAATTTTTATATTTTTGTTTCAAAACGTTTTCTTTTTGAGCAAAAAACCCTGATRATTTAATATAAGATTCCTCATACATTCTTACAGTGGTTGAAAGTTAAAATTTAAAAGTATACAGTCATAATTTCTTTATATAACCAATGTTTGAAGTTTAAATTTTTATAAAACCATGTAAAATTGTTTGATATTTTGTAGTTATTGTTACGTATGCTAAATTTTTTCAGTTTTGGAATAAACTTGTTTATTATAATTTAACATTTTATAGGTTGACAGGCAATTTCTGCTCAGAATCATTTTTCATATAAAATGATAAATTATTAAATTCAAATTTAACTCATGTATTACATTGACCTACTCAGTAACAAGTTTACTGTATAGGAGATACATACACAGTTTTATAATTTTATTGATTTGAATTCTTTCATAAATATTGTTATCAATTTAATTTGTATTAATTCAATGTTTTAATACTTTAGCGGGAAGAACAACTACCAATGATGAACTTGAAGAAATGTTAGAGCAAGGGAACCCGGCTGTGTTCACGCAAGGCGTAATTATAAAAATACAATTTTTTTTTTAGTTTTAATATGTTTTTTTTTTATAGATAATTATGGAAACACAACAAGCTAGGCAAACATTGGCTGATATTGAAGCCAGACATGCTGATATTATAAAGCTGGAAAACTCCATCAGAGAACTTCATGATATGTTCATGGATATGGCAATGTTGGTAGAAAATCAGGTACGTATTTTATATATTGCTTAAAGATTTACATTCTAATTTTTTAAAACAATATTGAATAGAGCAAAGAGCTGTTGGATTTAAAATGTGTGGTTTGTTGTCTGTTAACAATTGTATGGCTAAAGTTAGTGTTATAAAATTGTATACAATAATTTCTATACATTGGCAATCTATTATACATAATTTCACATACCAAAGGTGCTAACCTTATGATGTGATAGTGAATTGTTGGTTATTTATTATGTTACGCTGGTAGTTAAATCTATTAAATATTACATGTTTTAATTTTGTATTTCTGGAAAAAAAATTTATTTGGTGAATAGAGTAATTGGGTAATATAGTCTGTTAGTCTGTGTGAGGTGTGCGAGGGCGTTAACCAACAAATTTTATTTAATGCGCATCTTTTACACTGTTTGGTGCCAATAAACACATGTTGCTTTAAAGTTTAAAGAGATAACTTGTAAAACATCTGTCTTTTGAAATTACATTGAAATTTTTAACAAATTAAATCTTTATTTATTATAATTATTAATAGTTATTATTAATAAAACAATAATTTTATTAMATTTAGGTATTTTAGTACTTAATCTTATAATTTCTATTTTATAAAATAGAGATGTGGATTTTTGATAAATAATAATTCTTAGGTATATATAAATAGTAGTAAATAGTATACATCTCTAAATAATTAGGTGCTCTCTCTGTGGATAGTATATATATATATGTATTGAGTATTTAAAAATAAACGATTATATAAACTAGTAATAGTGATGTTTGTAGGTACTTAATTTTACTAATAATTACCAAATTAATAATGTTAGTTTTTGTTTGAATTGCTCATACCCTATACCACTAGTTAAAAACTGAATATTGCATTACATTTATTTTAAATATTATTATTTTTATCCTTTAAATTCATTAATTTAATTTGTTTTATTATTTTTTAAAAACCAACWACTATAAATTTAATTTAACTTATTTGAATGATTTAATTTTAAAATTGTTGGTAATGTACTAATAAAATTTAAATTTAAAACAAGCGTTCATAAAATAAATAGTTACGATCGAGTTATTATTTTTATTWATATGGTTTTTTGATATAACCATGTTTCATTATAATGTGAGATAAAATTAGTTTCCTATTAATTTATTAATTAAAAACAAAATTAGGGAGAAATGATTGATCGAATTGAGTATCATGTTGAACACGCCGTGGATTATGTACAGACGGCAACTCAAGATACTAAGAAAGCATTAAAATATCAAAGCAAAGCGAGAAGAGTAAGTCAAAAGGCGTAGAAGTTTGCAATGGTCCCACTCGCTTTGCTGATTGCATTTGTTTGTTTTTGTAGGTTTTATTTCTTATTTGATATTTGTTTGTATTTAGAAAAATTAAATACTATTTAATAGTTTTTAGTTGATGTAATTTAAACTGATTGCAATTGATTTATGATTACTAAAAATTATTGTTTTGTTTTGTTTTTTTKCCTTTTCAACATTTTTCGCTTACTTTTGTTTTTATTGTTTTTATTATAWAAATAATTTTGGGATTTTCATCTAATAATTCCTTATCCCAATCTTGTTCCAACTGAAAATGTTATCCAAAAAAAATAAAAATCATATAGGGTGAACTTATTGATAGAATAGAATACCATGTATCATTCACTGTTGAAAAAGTTGCTGAAGGCAAAAAAGAACTGGATGTTGCTGAAGACTATCATAAAAGCTCCCAAAA